TGAATATTAGAAAGTTTTATGCAAAAAATTACATATATTAACAAAAATACTTATCATTTTATAAATAATTACGTAGCAGTAGAAATTTTTTATGAAGTTTATATGATTTAAAATTTTATATTTTTAAAACGTTAATACACCTTTCTCTTTTCTATAATAATTTAAATTACAAATAGTAATCATTTACACAATAGGATTTGATCTCTATATTACAGTCCTACCGAGTTTGCGCATTTCCAGTATGGAAAAATAAGGTTATAATTATCTTTCCACTGATCGATAACATTTAATGAATAACAATGATTATTTATTTATATCCTTTCCGATATTTATAAATGTTATGATCACGATTATGTATATGATAGTTTTTAGAAATATATGAATATTTTTGCAATTCCCTTTAGAGGGAAATTAATTATATCATACTATTTTGCTAACGAGTAATGAAATGTTATAAAACGCGAAGTATTGTTTATCAATTTTTTATATTTAGATCAAAATTTAACATCGCAATTTATTAAAATAAATGTAATACTCTTTTTTTTTTTACTTGTACTTCTGTTTAAAATTTTCTTTTGTGCAAACAAAAACTATAATAATTATATATATATATGTGTGTGTGTATTTTTTATACCTATATATATTTTTTATTAATTATATTTATACACATATATATACTATCTATTTTTAAATTTAAAATAATTACATTCATAGTTATCTTGGAACTTCGTATTAATTTGTTTTTATAAATAATATAATTTATTTTGTACTTATTTTTGTCATCTTATTTGATGTGTTTATTGTTCAAAATTATTACAAATAATTTTGCATATGTCAAATTTATAAATGTATACAAATTTATATGATGGAAACAAAAGCACTACTAAATAGACAGATAAATTTATTACTCATAATGAGAGTTATTTAAAACAATTATTTTACAGTCATGTTATAATAACTGACATTACCACTCCCATGTACAGATACAAACATTCTTAACATGTAATAATTAGTAAAATCTGTACATTAGCCTGTATGTAGCACAAACAAGACTGATAGAATGTTTTATATAAGTTATATTTTATGATATAAAAATTGTAGGATAAAAATGATAAATTAAAATCACTTTTAGATAAAGCGTACAGAAACAATTTAATCAATACAAAAATTATTTTTTTATGAAATATATCGGAAAAACATATCGTAGAAAGGATATATACACGCATAGTATTTAAGGAATAAGAACTAGTCATAATCTGCATGACTTGCTTCATGAATATTTAACTACTAAAATAATTTGCGAAGAAAAAGAAAGAAAAGGAAAATTTATCATATTATTTCCTTTAAATGATTATTTGATATTTTGTGATTATTAATATCATAGTATCAACTTCAACTTTCAAGCTCTTAATCATAATTGTTACATCTTTTTTCGAATATCAATTGTATCTGCAATCAGGCCTGTTATTGATCAAGGTACAATTATATTACACAAATTATCACATAATTTTACGAACATTTATGAGCTGAAAATTTTTGTAGCCTACGTCTTCGTAGCATTTCTTGTTCACTTGAAGATTCCGTGTCATTCCTAATTGATGATTCTGGAGTTGCATCATTACCGTTTATACCTGATAACGTATTTACATTATCATTAGGAGAATTTGCAGTAGGAACATTCATCTCAGCGTTATCTTGCGATTGCTCGCTGTTAAGTTCAGGACATGCAGTTTTAGATGTTCCTTGTTTTGCCATTGAAGAAATATCTGTTGTAACATTCGTGTTATTTGTTGCAGTTGGCACTGGAATACTGCAATAAACATGTGTTATGAAATAACAATATTAATCGTTATTTTTAAATTTTATTAAGCTACAAAAAAACTCGTACATACTTAGCAGTAACAGCTGCTGTTTGATATTGGTTCATCATAGCACTGGCAGCATCTAATAGAAGCTGAACTCTTTGCAACGTTTGTATTCTAGCTTCAACGGCTTGTCGTAAATTACCTTCCATTGCTCTAAGTTCTTCTTCGCTTAATTCTGTAAGATTTGGCGGTGGCGTAGGAATAGGAGGCAATGGTACCATAGTTGGGAATGGTGGTGGAAACAACGGTACACCACTAGCTGCCAAATTTTGAAATGAGGTTGATGGAGTATTTGGCCCACTATTTTGAGCTTGTTGTTGCTGTGTTGTTGCATTTGAAACTTGTTGCTGTTGTGGCTGTTGTTGCTGTTGTTGTAAAGCTGCCGGTGCCCCTGGAGCATGCATCCCAGCCCAAAATGCTGGGAGAACTTGAACTTTATTGAATAACATATAAACATTAGATTTATTTTCTTAATGTGGACACGTGTAAAAATAATCGTAAATATACACACCAATTGGATTAAATCCTGGTGCTTGTGGAGCTTGAGGCACTTGTGGTCCTGCTTGTGCTTGATTTTGTTGCCTATTTCCTTGATTATTATTAACAGGTCTTAAAATATTTAAACGGCATGTGGGGCACGTTTGTTGACGTTGGAACCAAGAACGAAGGCAGGCAGTATGAAAAATATGATTACAAGGTAACTTTTTACTTGCAGACACCATTTCTTCCCTAAAATGTTGTATATTTTTATTAAATGTTGTACAATGTTGTAATATGTAGTATATTTTTAATGTTTCATCAATATTTCTGAGAAGTTATATTTTTTAATGAATTAGTAACTTTATTTTACCTGCATATAATGCATACATTATCAGCAGCAGCTAATTCTTCTGCTGTAGCATCTGGATATAATGTATTCATATTTCTGATAGCTCGACGCGACATTACAATATCGTGGAATGCTTTCCTAAAGTCTCTCATTGTATAATACATTGCACGAAGTGCAAACAAAGGTAAAGTATATAATTTGACCATCAAAGTGACAAAAGCAACATATAAAATAACCTGAAAGAAAAGATATATTAAATCAATGACTTTATAAATATTTAATGAATATATCTTATCACTTTATCCCACCTTCAACAGCCCAATTATTAATTCTGTGTACAACAAAAATACTGGTTTATTGTCCCATGGATTTTCACTTTGTAGATCTATTGTATGTAATATATACTTTACACTAATATTGAATACAACAGTTAAGAGAATGGCATATTCAAAACCAAAAACAAGTTGCACTGAGGGACCTTTCGTCGCTGTTGTATTATACGCATAATGAATCATGGTTAAATTTATAGCAAACAATAATGCCAATAGAGTACCAACTCTAAGATGGAATAACCAAGTTATTACAGGACTTCTTTCCATCTGAAAATAAATGAAACAAAATATTATATATGAAATTATATTAAGTTACTCATATTACTTACATAATCTACACGATCTTCTGCCAACCAGTGAAATGATTTCAAAAATAAAAGAAGTGTGAATAGTGCTATGAATTTTGGACTAAAATCATCTCTAAATACTGTAAACGCTAGACAAGTTTCAGTTACTGCATACCATACTTTTTCCAACAAATGCTGTAAAGAAATAACTCTTGGTATATGTATATTTGTACGCACATTTTTTAACCTTTATATATTTATATTTATATATTTAACCTTAATACATTATATATTTACCTCAAGTTCAGCAGCACGTAGGGTACCAAAAAATATCTTTCGAAAGAAAGCATTTATCATAAATACTAGAATCAAACCTTGTGTATAGATTACCTAAATTTCACATGAGAAAACAAACGGAAGAATCGTTAGAACATTCAGAAATATATGTATATGTATAATGAAATATAACGTTTATAAACAGAAGATCTTAAAAAGAAAACATCGAAACTTACCGTCATACTAGGGTTGGATTTGGTTATGTGAACTACTGTTGGATAAAACTGTTTTCTTTGATAATACGCGTTGCCTATCACAGCACATGTTAATGCTGTGCTTATTAACATTATTCCAGCCTCTCTCATCTTTGTATATATTGTTTTTTCAGCCCAAAGGCTGCTCTTTCCGAATGTTATATTCACTGACACTTATTTCACCAACAATTTACGTATCAACAGCTGTAGATCCGACTAGAATAAACGAGGCGCTGCTATCCTAACGACAATATCCAAAACTATCAACTTTGCTATCAATGAATACATTTCCACGACATTTTATATAATAAAAAATGGAACAATCATTAAATGTGACCTTGTGTGCATATATATCACACCTTTATTATCTAAATATCGAAAAGAATTTTACTTCACGAAGGAAATAGAACTTCCGTGTCATAGTTGTATTGTTTTTTGCAACAGCGAACGTGTATTATTTTTACTTGACAATTCCAGATGGAACAGACGGTAAAGTGTGATTGGTGGAACGATGAATAATTGTCTACAATTATGTTATATATATTTAAACCACGTGGAATATAACAAATTTCCTTTTTGTACTGTAGTTTTTTAATTAAATTCCATATTCTAATACTAATATATATACATATATCGATATAACAATGGATATAACTTTGTGTAAGTTTTATTTATTTATGAACAAATTACATGTGGTTCATAAAACAGAAAATACAATATTGTATTATAAAAAATTGCGGCAGTATATTTGTATTTTTTACGGTATGTATAAAAAATTCAATCTTTAAAAATGGGACAAGTTTCGAAATTTCAAAAAATAATATTGCAATTAAAAAAATACACGTTTGTACTTTGCTAAATGTATGTAAACATATATGTATATTAATAACACGAAAACAAGTACAAAAGAACATATATATATATAAATACATAACTTCTTCAAGCAAAAATATTTGTCTAAAAAGGTTCTATATTTTATAGTATTAAAATGTATGACAAAATCATTGGTTCAGTATGTTTATCACACACTTATGTTTTCATATAACATATATAAAATACTATTCTGTATATTTATGGCAATTTATCATACATAAAAGTACTATAACTATAGTATATATAGTAAGGATGTGTTATGAAAATAAACTTTTTCTCTAAACTTGGTTCTGAGATTCTAAGTTGTAAGACAATCTCATAGTACTTTTATCAATTTATAATTGAAAGTATTGCAGAATAGACTTTCTTGAACACATTTCTGATAAATTTGTACTTTAAATTAAGAGTGTCTACTGATATTTCTTGGTGTCTTTAAAATACTTTTAGGACTCTGATACTTTGGAGTTCCTAATTGACCAACAGCCTTTAAAGGTGTCCTACGAGAATCCACTAGAGGTCTTCTTACTAATGCTTTGCCACTTTTAGGTGTTTTTATAGTTAATGGTTTCTTAATATGCGGAGTCTTACACAGCACGTTATTATCAACTTTATAGATACTTAGTCTTGAATTCTGTGATATCATATCCACAGGTACATTTTGCATTAAAGGTGATGTTTTAACAGCCCTATTTTCTTTTTGATGAGTGGCTGTATTGCATGTCATAAAGTCTTTGGAAATACAATAACACATTTCAATATCCTTTTCCTTATTTTCGGTTTCCATCATAGTACGAGAAGGAGAATGTTTCAATATCAATTTTGAATTTCTACTTTTTACATTTTTGTTTGATTTTCGACACAATTCTGTCCGTTCACAATTATGTTTTATATTATTCATGCACTGATCATCCTCTGTACAAAGTAGACTGTTTTTCTTATTTATAGTGGTGTTTTGAGAGTGTACTTTTGCCGTGCACTCATCAAATAATTTAGCTTTAGCTAGTACCATTCCTGCATTCTGAGTTCTTAATTTTGCGATAGATGCACGACCAGTTTGAGTAATTGGAGATTTCGTTTGGTTTGTTGATCCAAAATATCCATCTGCATCCTTCCAGGATATAACAGCTTTCTTTTTCTCTTCAGATTTTGGAATCAGTTTACCTACAGATGTACTGTTTAAAATCATATTTTGTTGGCTATTCGTCTTCTTCAGTTTTTCAACTTTGCTATCGGAATATGTGGCCGTATTTGTAAGTTCATCACCATGAAAAGACGATACTCGACGTACCGTCGTGATTGTTCGATCTTTCACCGATTGAAAAGAATTCTGATTGTGTTTTTTTGTATATACATTTGAATTTTTAAACTCATCGCATACATTATTTAATATTATATTATCTCCTTTTTTCCAAAGGGAAGTAGATATAGGTCGTAAGTCAGCATCGTCTTTTGTATAATTCAGTGAAAATGTTTTTTCATTATGGGAGTAAGCATTGCTCAAATCTTGATCAGACTGTGTATGTGATTGCAAATCTGATCCACGAGAAATGTGCCATGAAGCAGTTCGTCTAACACGTTTGCTAAAAGATAGAAGAAATAAATTGAAGATTGTAAACTACAGAAACATACTAATTTACATAGCTCATAAAAAGTATAATTTACCTCATCACTTTTTCTTGTGATCTCCTTCTTAAACTTCCTATTTTTCGAGCACTTGGAGACCTGATGATTTTGTGTTCATCTGATCTTCTAATTTTAAGTTCTTTACCAAGTTTTTTAGCTAAGTAGTCTGTTGTCACTGTACTTTCAATACTAGCTTCTTCCAATGTCCTTTCATACGCAGTTTGTACTTTTTTCACAGAATGCAATAATAAATCATCATTCTCCTCACCATTTCCATTATTTATACATTTGAATTCTTGAGAAAGACGAGATTCAATTGCTAAAACTCTATTTTTTATTTCTTCATATTCGCTTTTAGGTATCGTAACGTATTCCTCTGACTGATTATCTACAAATGTGACTTGAACATGTGAATATGTTTCAAAATTATTTACAGTTAATCTTCTTTTCATTGGGTTCATTCGTCTTTGTTTATAATTACCTAGATCTTTTAATTCTTCCGAACTTGAACTTAACTGTGTGTGCCATTTACTAGATTTAATATCATCTTTTGTTAACAAGACCTGCTCGTCACTATCATCTGATAAATTAACATCTGCATCACCAAACATATTATTATACTCTCTGTGAAGGTCGTTTGATACTTCACTGTCTTTTAGAATTAATTTCAAATGTGATGAACTATCACTATATGCTCTGTATGTTCTTTGTGAGTCACCACATGAGTCACAAACAGAACTCCAACGACGTTCTGCCTGAGTATCAAAAGTATTCTTAGATGATTCTGTGCTTTCATCAACAGTTTTCTGCAAATATAAAAATATTATGTAGATTGTTATAATCAAACTTGTTAACTCATGAAATAAATTATTCTCATGTTCTTACTGGCTTTCTCTGTACAAAACGATCCAAACTAAGTCTAATCTTTTTAGATTTATCTGCTTTATCTACAACTCTTCTGAAACATAAGTTTATCGTATATATTACAAATGATAATTGTTTATATCTATAAAAGAAGTAAATACATACTTCTTCTTTGTACTTGGTGGATCTATATAATCAACTTTCCTTTTTTTTGTGGGCTTAGTATTTAATGTATGTACTGAATTAGCATTTTCAGATATCCTTTGACTATCACATGTGTTACTATCTTCAGATGCAGCATTTTTGCTAACAATCTTTTTTAGACCATTAAACATTCCTAAAGAAAAATATTTAAATTTTAAAGAATTCTATGTAAATAAGAGAATTCTGATCTGTTAAGTAATCAAGTTAGTAAGTTAGTTAATGGTACATTTGTTAGAACATAGGTTTATGTCTATTAAATAAAACTTTCATCGCATGCTGTTATTATGAAACTTCAGTATTTATGTCAGTACAGTGTAAATACAGTTTGGAAATAAATTACTACGAACAGATCGACAGACATACTTAGATTGAGGTTGGAGGCACTTAGATGTGGCTTACGTGTAAGGCTTCCACTGCGATGTTTCTTTTTTTTGAATTTTGAACGCAGATGATCAGATACATCTAACTCATTATCTGTACTGCCAATTGTTTCCATAGAAATAGCTTGTGTTATATGATCTGGTAAAATACCAATACTTTCTGCATTTTCAATTAAAATCTGCAATATTTCCAGATAAAGCTAATGAAATTATCTTATGTTAAAATTGACATTCTTCTTCAAGACAAATATGCATATCACCTTAACAACAATTAAGTGTAATTCAAGACGCATTTGCACAGCAGACATAGTGGTTTCTTGCAGAGGCATTATATTTGGACCAATAACTTTTGCTAAATTATCAATGCCCATTTTATTTTGTTTCTCATATTGTGCTACTTTCTTTAAAAATTCCATAAAAAATGCCAGAGTATTTAGATGATGTGGTGGTAAAAGAATACAAGCTAATAACAATGCTTGTACACAATAAGTTTTAAGCATGACACAGTGTACAAATAAATCATGGTACGTGTATGGAATCAATGGTTCTGGTAAGTCTCTGAAGAATGTTTTTAAACAATTAGCTACATCAATGGCATGATGTTTTTCCCCTAAACTGCCACCATTATCTAAACGAATTATTAATTCCTTTTGTCTAAGTTGTGATCCTGCTTTTCTGAATAATCCTTCCTGAGTGATATACTTTTCTAAAAATGTGGATGCATGACTCACAAAAACAGGCACATGCACAATGGCACCAGAAGATAAATTCACGACATCCAATGGTTGGTACAATAAAGAAGTCTTGAAAACTTTTTTCAAAATGCGTTTCCCTTCAGATCGTTCTGCTTTAAACATATTTTTTTTAAAACGATACTTAACTCCGTAATTACGAAGATCACTGACAATTGATTGGTATACTGTTTCTTTATGTAGAACATCGTAAATCAACATGTTTGTAATTTAAAGATAGGAATTATTTGATCATAAATTACAATGAAATCTTTAAAATAAAATTTTTTGTTTATAAACTGTGCAAGAATACAATACAGTTTTCATATTTATACAAACATTATTAAATACGTACAGTTACATTAAAATTATCATGTAACTGACATACGCCATTACCAACTATACAATATTACTTATAAAATAAAATTTGACATTCTAATGTACTGAAAGAAAAATGAAACTCAAACTCAAATTCGACATTAGTATAAAATATTAAGTTTCCTAATTCATTTAGAAAATGAATACAGCTGTTTATAGTATAGTTATATATTATTTTAACTATATAAATAAGTATATAAAAATGTATCATGAAATAAATAGCAGAATAAAATCCCCAAATTTATAAATTATCCCTAGGTTGCGGATGCGTATGTATTTATGAAAAATTTGTCTATAAAAATGTACAGGATATCCATAGCAACATGTTATAACATTTAAAAAATAAAACAAATTCTCTGTAGGTTTCATTTCTTTAGTTGTGTTCATAAGTCTAATTATTGTTAACATATTACATATCTTAATTATCTTATCATAACTTAAACATTTATTATTATGTATCAATTTTATACAAATCAGAAATCGTAAATACTATTTTCGAACAAAATATTTTTCTCGTGTTTAAGTTCAAATTCTCACCATTAATTAATGCGTTGTAATTGTAATTGATATCAAATTAATAGTATTGGATATCAGCTCTATATTTTAACTTATCTGTGGTATTAACGCAACGCGGGAAGATAATTCATGTAACTTATTTGAATCTTAAATATTTATGATATTTCATTCTGTTTCTATTTGTACTGTTTAGTAGAGATATAATCTATACAATTTTTAAAAACTTATCATGTTTTCAATAAATATGCTTAAATATCAACATTTATTTGATAAATTCACTAGCCGATATGTGAAACATCAATTTATCAATTGTTTTTTCGTAACAAATCAACAGCAACGTTTGGTACTATCATTACGTACGTTATCTTTTTAATCTATTTAAAATTTCTAAATTAAATTATTTATTTCGCATAGTTTTGTTAGTATAAATATAGATATAAAACTGGACTCGTACGCAGTATATTCTGCTACCGGTTATTTTAAATTGTCGCTTATATCACTCCGTGAAATAATATTTTGAAATAATTTTAACAGAAGAAACAACAAAAATCCAACTTCTATCTAGATTGTAATATAAATAACAATTTTCTAGAACATTTTAAACGATGTTAGTCGTAAAACTTACCGCAGATCAATAAACGTCTGTTGAACTTACATATATACAACTCTCTTTCTCTATAAACGTGAACTTATGTATTCAGAACAGTACAAGTCTGATCTAACTTTAGAAATTGATTTTGTATCCAAATAGCGCTACTACAAAGTAGATAATTTATATATATCTAAAAATAATAGTTTATGGTATCTTGAAAATTGTTGTAATAATATGACAACACAGCAATATTAAAAGGATATAAAATAATATTATTTAAATAAATTTATATAAATATCTTTTACAGCATTAAACCAATTGAAGAAAGGAAATATGCAAACAGTGCGATTGTTATCAGGGTATGACATGCCTACTGTGGGTTTGGGTACATGGCAGGTGATTTAATTATTAACTTATTATTTAAATTCAAGAATCTTTCTTAAATGTTTAAATTAATTTACATTTTTCATTTGTACTTAAACTTAAAACTATAATGTTGCATACTTTCTGAAGGCTAAACCTGAAGAAATTGAAAAAGTTGTGATAGCTGCTCTAGATGCTGGCTATAGACACATTGATACTGCATTTAATTATAATAATGAAGAAGCAATAGGAGCAGTATTAAAAGAATGGTTTAGAAAAGGTGGGAAGCGCGAAGATCTTTTTATTACTTCAAAGGTAACATTTGATATATATTAAAAAGATAACTTATACATATATAAAGATAAAAAAATATTTAATTACCTTTTTAGTTACCTAATTTTGGTAATCGACCATCAGATGTAGAGAAGTTTATTAATTTATCACTGAAAAGACTTGGTTTGGATTATTTGGATATGTATTTAATCCACATGCCTTTTGCCTTTAAATTAGATGAAAGTACTTGTACCTCAGCGATTAATGAAGATGGAAGTTTTATGTTGGATCTTGATACAGATCCTGTTTCAGTGTGGAAGGTTTAATTCTATAGCACTATTAATGAATAAAATGTTAGTAACTTATAATTGATTGTTTCATTTAATGTTTCAGGAAATGGAAGAACAAGTAAGAAAAGGTCGTACAAAGTCTATAGGTTTAAGTAACTTTAATGAAAAACAAATTTTAAATATATGGGAGAATGCACAAATTAAGCCAAGTAACTTACAAGTAGGTTTGACATGTAAATAAATTTTATCACACTTGGCTTTGATATAGTTTCGTAATCACTTTAATTATTATTAGGTGGAATTACATGCATATCTGCAACAAAATTCGCTACGGCAATTGTGTCAAACGCACAATATCATTATAACAGCCTACAGCCCCTTGGGATCACCAGGAGCTAAAACGCATTTTCAAACGAAATATAATCATAATGTTGAAGACTTTCCAGATGTTCTGGGACATCCAATAGTACAAAAAATAAGCGCAGAACATAAACGATCACCAGCACAAGTTTTACTACGTTACTCATTACAATTAAATGTTGTTGTAATTCCAAAAAGTAAATCTCCCGAGAGAGTTAAGGCAAATATTGATTTATTTAGTTTTTCATTAAATGAAGAAGAAATGAAAATTTTGAGTACCTTAGACAAAGGTGTACGTGGAAGAATTTTTAATTTCTTGTTTTTTAAGGGGTAAATATATTTATTAAAGATATTTCATTCCAAATAATGTAAAGATATAAAATCCCTTTGATTTCTTTTAGGGTCGAGAATCATCCACATTATCCATTCAAGGATGAATTACAGTCCTAAATAAAAAAAGAGATTATTAAGGTGTAGTTCGAACGTATGCATATTTATACATTGAAAATACTTGAAATATAGTACAAAATGAAAACATATATATAAAGCGAATAAATATATAATACAAAATGCAAAGAAAAATGTTATTACATTTCAGTGTAATCTGTACAACATTTTACGTTGCATACGATGCTGAAGTTCTCCACGTCGTATCATTGTGTGTATAACTTTGTAAATAGCACGTTCTGGATATGCTTGTTTTACAAAATCTTTAACAATATTTTGCTCTGACACTTGATTTCCAATAGGAAATCTACGTTTCAATTGTTTTTCGATACGTGATAACATTTCATGATCTTCATCCGAGGTAAATCCTTCTGCACCTAAATTTTGACATGTGTTTAAAATGAAGTACAATATTAAGAAATGCATACTACCAGTTACTTCATTATAGATTACCAGCTAAAGATCCTGACATTGCAGCATCTAAAGTAGATACTTGGAAAAGTCTAAGCGCTTCGTTCACGTGGATTTGTGTAGCGAAAGGTTGTAATTGCATTTTAGCTAAAGATTCTGAAATTCTTATAACAGCTTCCAATTGACGAACTGTTATGGGAATAGATAATCTCTTTTCCATATCTTTCTCATGTTCTCTGGTACTAGCTCGCATTACAACATAACGATGTTTTAATTTCTCTCCCGCCTCTTTACTAAGTCTTGGACCACAACGACTATAAAGGTATATCAATTAATGACAAATAAATAAAATATTTTGAACAAAAAATAACCTTACGTTCTACAATAGTGGATATATTTTTTTAAAATGTGCAGTGGTAGTTCTCCTTCTGCCAATTGTTCTGTAACTTGACCAGCATTGGTATGGATATTCATTACATGTTTTGCTAGTGTTACATCTTTATTTTGCTCGTGTTCATCTTTAACAATAAATATCATGTCGAAACGCGATAAAATTGTTGGCATAAAATCAATATTTTCTTCTCCTTTTATCTCATCCCAACGACCAAATATCGAATTTGCCGCTGCTAGAACGGAACAACGAGTATTTAATGTTGTAGTTATTCCTGCTTTTGCAATGGATATTGTTTGTTGTTCCATAGCTTCATGTATTGCAACTCTATCATCCTCTTTCATTTTATCAAATTCATCTATGCAAACAACACCACCATCTGCAAGAACCATAGCACCTCCTTCCATGACAAAATTCCTCTACAAATCAAATAAAACATTTTAGTAAATGTGAAACAAATATTTGATATTTATATGTTAAAATGATTAACTTACTGTTACTGGATCTCTTAAGACTGATGCTGTTAAACCAGCTGCTGAACTTCCTTTGCCAGATGTGTAAATTGCAATTGGTGCAACTCTCTCTACAAATTTTAATAACTGTGATTTAGCTGTACCAGGATCACCTAACATTAAAATATTAATGTCTCCTCTCCTACAAAGTCCATCAGGCATTCTTTTTCTAGAACCACCAAACAGTAGGCAAGCTATAGCTTTTTTAATATCCAATGCACCAAAAATGCTGGGAGCTATACTTCTTGCAATTCTTTCATATAAATTAGTGTCTGAAGCAAGACGTCTAAATAAATCTTCTTCTTCATTTGTAAAGCATGAATGAATACCTGAAAACCACAGAAATTGAATAAAAATATTATAAAAAAAAGAAATTCATTGCATAAAGTTATTTTATGACAATTTACCACTGCCTGTATTTTCTCCATCTGTAGAAATACCAATAACCCTCATATATGGCGCTCGAACACCAATTAATGCTTTATCTCTTCCTCTATTACCAGTAGTTTTAGTAACTTTCTTAATTGAATATATGCCCAAAATGAGAACTCTATTGCCTGGTACAATTCTATCACATAAATAGCGATCGCAATACAATTGTAAATGTCTTGGCATTTCACCCTGTGGAATTTGATCTGGCAATTCTTGCAGTTTCAGAACTTGAAAATCAACACAATGACATTTATCTGGCATTATAAAAAATGGATCCAGAGGGCATTTTGGCCTTCCTGCTTGTTCTGTTGTACATTTCCTAGGTAAAACGTATCCTTCTAAACCAGGTTTAATTGAAATATTAGTTTGCATGCTTCTACAAGAACGACATTGTATAGCAATTTTTGTCGCTTTTGCCCTAATTCCAGATGCAGAAACAATAATACCAGGTATTTTAATAAGTTTAGAAACTGCATCAGGCTAAAATAAAAAAGTTTAACCAATGTCAGATATCACAAATTTTAATGTTATATATAATATGAAAATTACTTCATCTTTTTTAGCAGCAAAATTGTCTTTTTTAAGAGTAAACTTAAATCATACTTTGATTCCTCTTAAAGAACTTGGATGTGCATCTGAAGATAATAAAATTTGTATGTCTTCAACTTTTTCTTCATCTGGTGGTCTTGGAGCTGTAAGTTCATCCGCTAAATCTTTTGCAGCTTCTTCCAAGATAGGTAAATATTCAGTTGGATGCTTGTAAACTTTTTCTGCGAGTGATTCATCAAAAGCTGCCAGATCTTCTAAATTAATTTCTACCCAATATTGACCCAAATTATAATTACGTTTTAAAATATCTCTAAAAAAATTATTATATTATTAATATTACACAAAATTTACGATATAATTATCAAATTTATACACATTGAAATATTGTAATTAATTCAGGTACCTATATTTGTAGTTAAAGTTTCCCTCGTGGAATTGTCTAATAAATTCCATAAACTTCTTCTTCGAATGTTGAAAATTAGTTCGCGTCTCATTAGATTCACCTACAGAGAAGTTATCGGAAAAGAATATTCCTGGGTCATCAAATCCTTCCATTATAACTTGATTTTTTGATATTTTTTGAAGAAAATATAATTGTGCAACACACTAAAGGAAGATTTGGCGGCAAATATTTTGTTTACATCCTTTGAACTCTCTTTCGACATAGAATAAAAAAAATAGAGATACGACACTTTCCATGTTTCTGTTATGAACTTAGGAATTAATATTTCTTAGGTTTATGGTTTCTCACCATAGGTTCATGCTTATCTCACTTTATTTCAAAATATGTGTATATGCAATAGAAAATAAATTTAAAGTAAATTAAGTAAAATTGAACAAAATAAATATAAATGTAATAATATTTGTTTTATAATTCATAATCGTTAAAAGTTTTTTACATTGACAGTATTGCCATTCGATACATAAAGATAGGTTAAATTATCTAGATTATTATAGACTTCTCAATCTACTGATCTGTTATATATGGTTTTCAATGTAGACTTTTACGTCGCAATTCGCAAACTAAAATTCTTGTTTGTGATGTTATCTGTTTTGTAGTTTATTACATCAATGTATAAAATAATAAAACGAATGCTTTTCATTGTTACATAATCATACCTGATTTATATAAACGAAGGTTAGTATACGATACGTAAATTATATCAAGCCTTTCGACGAATTGTTATTCGATAAACTGTGTCAATTAAACTTTTAACTGGGGTAAGTTATGATATTAATAGTATTAGTGATTTTAGGGTTATTATTTGGAAATTGTTTAATTACAAAAAGTATGGATTTTTCATTGGTACGGATTACCAGCTGAGTCTATTGTTTTAAATAAAAACTTAAATTTATGTTTATAAATACAATTCTAGTTATACAATAGTTAGTTTGACAGAAATTTATCAAAGTGTTAGTTTTTATGAAATAAATAATTTATTCTCACTTTCATCTTTTTTGGAGTATGTTTACTAAAATGACATTTCTTAAATTCTTATTTTTACTTTTTTGTATTTTTACTTTTATGTATGATAATTCTTAACATATGTATAAGCAATAATTAGTATAAAAAGGTATATATCATTCTCACTTATAAATTTTTTTATTATTTAATTGTTCTTTCACATTACTTCTTTCACATACTTAATATTTTATATATATTTTTTAGATTCATTTGTTATTTATACAAAAATGTCTCCATATCTAATGAGAAAACGTACTTTACCAACACGAAATTCTCAAGCGTCACAGCTAAAAGAACAAAATTCAAGTCCCAAAGTGAAATCTAGCAAAATTGTTACACGTAGCAGTTCTAATATGAATAAACAAGATTCAAAAAGTAAGAAGAAGAATGTTATTAAACAGAAAAATAAAAATATTTCGAATTCAAGACAAATGTCTTTAAGAGAATCATTTTTAAATCAATCTAAAGTGAGAGTTTTACGTTCTCACAAAAATTCTAAAAATCCCACAAATAATAAATTAGTGAAGAAGTTATCTCCTAACAAAAGAAAGCCACCCATCTATAAATGTGGTTCACCAGAAAGTCCTAAGGAAAATACCAATGAAATATATGAATTTAAATTTGATGTTAATGATTCAACTGAAAGAGTACCAAAAAAACGAAAAAAGAGAGCTGTTATTAAGAAAACAATAGCAAAGCGGAAAAAAGGAAATGTTCCAGTAAAACAAGTTAACAAAGAACAATCAACTAGTAAACCTGAAAAGATCAAGAAAACAAATGTTGTTAAATTTGAAGGTGGTGAGCATATAGAATCTCTGATTAAAAATAGAAATGATGTATTAAAAGAGGAATTAGTGGAAAAGCCTAAAACAGATATAGACGTGGATAAAGAAGTAAAAGATTTAGAAAATATAGTCAGAGAAGAAAATGCTGGTGAAACAGTTACAAAACCTACAATTTTATCGATAGAAGATTTAAGTGATAGAAGGATTTCAATAACTAATATTTCAAAAACATCAGCCTCACATGATTTTAAACCATTTAGACCAACAAATATTTTTGATAACAAATTATCCATACAAAAAAAAGATGCACTTAATTATTCTTTATTTGAAAAATCTTTGTCACCCATTATAAAATTAGTAGAAGGTCCTCAAATATCCTCCAGTCCCTGGAGAGCAGCACCATTAGTTACATTTTCTCAAGTGAAAAATGTATTTCAAAGCACACCCCAAAATGATAAGTATGATATTATTAATAAAAAATTCTTGCAAACATTAAATAATGAATCGAAACAATTTGGAAATGTAACAAAAACAAAAAATAATTTACAAAAGAATAATGAAAATATCAACATAGAACGACACATAAGTAATAGTACCCCTAAAAGAAAAAATCCTGTAAATTCCAGAAAATTTGGCACAGAAATTACAAATATAGATCATTCCTTACAGTTTAAGTCTTCAATAGAACAAATAAATGAACGAATACCAACTGAAACTGAAAACATTCAGCTAAATACTACCAATGTAACTAATATATTTAAATTTGATAATAATGAGAATAAAACAAAAAATGTATTAAGTCCAAAGAATGGTTTTAAAAGAGAAGCAACAATGGTTAAAACTAAAATAAATCAAGGAAATATATTAAATATGCAATTTGATAAAGAGAAAAAAGAATATGATTCTCAACCTGGACCATCAGGTTTACAGGGCTGTTCAATTTCTAACAGAGATAGGGTATTAAAACAATCAAATTTAAATAATTTCTTAAATGTAATGGAAATGCCACAGAGTACTACAATCAAAACACCTCATGGAATTTTCGATGATGCACAATCAACACCAATTATTAATAGGACCCTGAAAAAGGCTAATGTACCTACTATGGAGTTAAAAAATGCATTTGGTTTTAGTGATAATGATTCTAATCAAGAGGAGTCTCCTATTAAGCCTAAAAATGAAAGAAATAAAGGAGAAAAACCCATTCAAACAGATATGGGACGACACAATATAAAACCTATTAGATTATCAATTGGTGAAATAAAAAATAAGTTACTAACTAAAGAATTGAAAGAAGATGTACACAATAAAGAAAATATATTAACTGAAAAGAAAGAAGTGCAAAAGTTAGAGGAAAAGAATAAGAAGTCAATTGAGATTGTTAACTTTTCTGATACATTTGATATTTTATCTGAAACAGGTGAAAGATCAGAAGTTTCTGCACATAGTATTCCACTATTTGCTGATTTGGAACCATCTCATTTTACACAGGTATAATTCTATAGTTATTATTATATGAAATTTTTTAAATTATTAACTTTACGCAAAAATGTATCTGTATATTTATATTTTAGCCTCCACGACATTCATATAAACGAAAACGTGACCTGAGGTTCAATTTTTTGGAAGAAGAAGACGAAGAAGGGGAGGAAAGAATACAGAGCTCTGGGACAAAACGAAAGAAAACTGATAAATTGAAAAAGGACCAAGAAGAAAGATTATTGAAGTGGGTTCAAGATATTAACAAAACATTTAGTGAAATAGACGAACATGAACTTGTGGTTGAATAAACCGTTAACTATTATTACCATAGTATTAGGTAAACGAGAAGGTTTATGTCATTTTAATTAATGGGAATAAATGATGCAAATGACACAAACTTTCTTGGTTATGTGATAGAAAGATGAAATAATAGTTACTAAAACCTTGAACAAATTTCGTTAATAGTCTTATATCTTTTTATCATTATTTTGTTCCTTAACAATATATGAATTTATAAAGGGAGGTATTTGTATGACAGTGGATACTTAATGATTTTATACTTAGTTAAAGGATATCTTTATGTTCTCAGCCTATATTCAAAATTATCTGAAAACATTTACTCACATAATTTAATACAGCTATATACTGGTATTTGTAAAAAATTTTTTAAATAGATTATATACTTTTTACATTATTAAGATAATATAAATGTACAAAATAATATAATACTATAAGTGATATAAGTAAAAAGGCATTAATAAATAATATAACTATTTATATCTTTTACATGCGTGCATATGTTATTTCAGTAATAATAATACATAATCTAAAATAAATAATTTATATTTCGACACTTTTGTTTACTACCAAATCCGTTTTTGAACGGATTTTTTTTGTTAATTGTTAATTCACATTGAAATATGTTTTACTTGCATTAGTAAATATTTTATATAAACCTAAGCATTTAGACATTTCTCTACATCCATTGTATATGCAAATATATTTATAGATATTTATAATATAAATTATGCATATATGTACATAAGCGCTGATGCATGTGTGAAGTATTAAACTCTTGTAAAACGTGAGTACCCACATGCTTATATGCATCCATGCTTTATGTTTCAAAATAAATTAGAGTTTGTACGTTGTACATTGTACATCGTATACAGTTGTGTATTTGTATGCGCGCGCATACATAAATACTTACTATTGGACCTGATTTCCACCAAACGCTGTTACACTGATACAACTTTTAAAGAAAATATTTAAAAGGGCACTACTGAACATTTTTATTCAGTAAGTATTGCATAAAAACTACTGTATATATCTTTACACTATGAACAATTATAACTTCATTAATTAGTTGGTAAAATATTTATATATGTAGGTTACAAACACAGAAAAGTTATTGACTAAAAGTACACTTCTGTGTCAAAGTAATATGCGATAAAAAATATTCATTAAATATTTTACTGAAAATCACTTTCAAATTATGAATTATTGTTTATTCATTAATTGTAACGCTATTACCAAAAAAAGAGAAGACAAAAGTGCTAAGTAAACCAGATTTAATTTTTTAATAGAAATTAAAATTATTTTTTCTGCTAAATATATCCTTTCTTCAAAAATAATTCAAATTAAGAGTAGATAGTGATATGTCTTGTATTCATAAATTTCATAATCACTTTTCACTTCGATGATCTATGTAATAATAACATTTTAAGAACTGACGACATCCGTTTAATTACAATTCATTATCGTTGTTGATTTTATATCTATCCGTTATGAGCTAATGCATATATATGCATATGTATTACAAAAGAAATAACCATTTTTGTCACCTAACCGAATTTCTAGAAACTGTAAGATAGTTCGAACTGTTTTAATATTTTAATTTTTATATTTTTCGGATTAATATATTTATATAATTACAATATATAATTACAATTAATTGAAATAAAAGGAATCAAATTACTATGTTAAGATTCGAGTAATTAATTTCCACATTACGATAGGAGATAGCGAAATATAATCGAGTACCCCGTATTCTTTAGAATAATCCCACGAAATTCAATTACGCGCATAAAATTTGTCATGCTTGATGTCTTCTGTAATTATAATTACGTAAACTGAAATTAAGTTATGAGGTACAGGAAAGTAGAAGGTATATTTTCAATACGATTTAAAAGGAACGGATGGAGTATGTATTCTCTATGTAACTCATCCAACACTGTGACATACGATTCATGGTGATTAGCTACGAAACACTCCGTGTTTCTTACACTAGAGTGCATTTACATACACATATTGAGAGAGTTACAACGGAAAGTAGGTTCGGAACGAAGATAACGCATGGAAGAAACGCATTTACATACATATATCTAATATACTGGAGAAATACTAGCCAGATTACGTAATATGGCAAAACAAGTCAATATATATCAATATATCAAATCAAGTCAATATAGAGATATTACAATTGAAACGCTGCGCAAAATTACCAACAAGTCTCTATTTCTGAATTTTTTAAATGATCCACTCTTTTCTTGGATAATAGAAAAATGTATATTTGTATGTAACTTTGACTTTATTTAAAAAAGTAGGTATGAAAATATAAAAGAGTTTATTAATTTATAGTTTCTTTCTTTTATTTACTAATAAACCTAAACTAAATCTTAACAGTTACTCAATCTATATGTACCTAACAACGACAGTCTGTCGATGATGTAACATAATATCTATATTATAATGGACATATATGGATATTGGTATTTTTATCCATCACATGACCAATTCAAGCGCACAATATTTACAAATAGTAATTTGAGCATAAAGAGTATCTGAAGAAGAAAATTCTCAACAAGGTGGCACAGGAGTCTCCTGCATAGAGGACGTATTTATAGTTGCGCTAGTCACGTATGTTATTCCATATTTCCTTCTTGAATTGTGATATGTATGTGCATTCCATTGTATTGCATGCACTCTCTCATATAAGCTTCTCAAAAGCCAAACTTCACCTCCGCTTTTTATACATTTTTTAATTTTATTAGTGTTTAATTTCATAAAGTATAAGTTCAATAATATATATTTATGTCTCCACTCTAAGAATATAAAATAAATAATCGTAAATTCCTGAGCAAATTAAAAATAAATAATGTTTATAGTATCACTACATTGTTCTATTGTTTAATTTATGGAAGTGATTAGTATACGAGTTCTGAACGGTTCACATATACGCTATAGTAATGCATCGAAAAACACATCATATTACATTGTTACGTGTTAAAACATGTAATAAGTAAAATCGTAGTGTAAATTGTCGGAAAGTTGGGCATTAACAATATTAAAATATTTTTAATTTCCATAAATCATCAATTACGCGCAACTACTGATGACTCACAGTATAATGTTATCTTTATTCCGATCGTGATTATCTCGTTTTGTTCCTCATGCTTATTTTTGATTGAGAAAATTGTCTTAATCGTGTATGTAAATTTAATTAACGTTAAGTCGAATGATAAAAAAGAATTTATTTCGGAAGCGTCCTTAGAACGATAAAACAGATTGAATGTAAGTAAATATACGGTCAAGATCAATAATAGCACAAAAAATACATAAATAATGTATCTTTATTCGTTAAAACATGAAAATTTATTAATATATTTCTTACTTACGTAATACGAGTATATTAGCTATGATTAAAACTATGATTATGATATGGAGAATTTAAATGTGCAGAAACATATAGAATACATACAAAAGTGAAACACAAATCCCTATTTGTACAAAAATTCTATTTCTGTAGCTGTATTCATGAAAATATAAATTTACATACACGTACCCAGTCCATTTACAGATTTCATTTCTGAGATTCTAGACACTTATATTTTTACTAAATGTGAAAGATCAAAGAGGCGAGCCGTTTATGAACATTCTATGTTATTTTTCATATTGTCAAATTATAAAGGTTCATTATTTCGAATCACATAACATCAGATGTGTAAACAGTTAAAGTCGATAAAGTTAAAGTTAAAGTTAAAGTTCGTTTGTCAGGTCTGTATCTACGACAAGTATGCGATTAGCAAAATGTCGCTTGGTTGGAGAGGATATCTCATCAAATTAACATTGCTAAATATATTTCTATGTTTGATACTTGCTGCCCGATGTTCCACCATTGTCAATTGTACCGTATAACATGCAGGAATGTTACTTACTGAATATTGTACTTACACGTTGAGAAACATGCAACTTTTAACTAGGGAGAGATCATATAATGGCTCGATAAGATTTACTTTGAAATATGAAAACTACTTATGATGTGAACAAAACATCGACGATATTTTGATATTATTAAATCGAAAGATACGATATGTGCGAAAAGAAATCTGTATCTAGCTATCAATTCAATAGTAAGTATGGAATTTAATGTGTATAATAAGCCATAAGACAATTATATGTAACTATGTGTAAAGTAGGTCGACATATCTGTACCGCACCAAACACAATATGTATAACTTCGGTTTAGCAAATAATTTAGCTACGTCGTTTTACCTCCTCGTTACCTGCTATCCAAGTCATTCTTTTATGAATTATAAACTTTCACGCTATTTCGATTAAATTTCTACTTTAATTGCAGATAATCGAGAAGAAAATTATCGCTCGTAAAAATTGTAATTTATAAATAGAGGTGATTTATTTTATCATCTTATGTATGTTACAAAATCAAAGAAATAATTGGACAATTCCGATGATATATAAAAAACTTATTTTTGATGTGTCAGGGGCTTATGTTAAAAATATATACGTCATGTTCCGGATATTTCTTGAGATCAAGCGTCGTTGGTAATAAACAGCGAAATTACGTTGCATTAAAAAGATATAAAACTGCTATCATTTCAGTCGTAGCATAGAAAACAGCATGTACTTACATGCATATACATATATATATACATACACACATACATACACTCTTGCAATCATACTATACATATATATACATCTCACCTAAAAGTAGTAGAGACATTATTAAACTTGTAATTAACTACGAACAATTTTATGTAAAAAAACAACTTCATACTTTCTATTTACGACTTATAAGCCCATTTCACCTCACTCGATCGAGTGCTGACTAAAAATTAAAGGTTCTTGTTTAGCGAAGTTACAGAATCAGAGATATACAGGGAACATATTGAATAACGTGAGTATTGAACTTCGAGCCACAAACAACGAAATCGCGAGGAATCGACTTGAAAAGACTTCCAATTTATTAGAAAGTACGATACTTTTTACATTTTTCCTACAATATAGTCACCTACTTAAAACTTGAATTGTTAATTATAACAAATTTTATTTGTACAATCTAATATGAATCACTCAGAAGTTAAATCGATCAACTCTATTTTCGATATATTACTTCATTTTAGTACTTACTATTAATGCTTACATTTTCAGGAACAAAATGATTTATCTTGATAGTCAGTTGATTTAGCTTCTCTGTGACTCTTAAGTACATTCTTGAAACATACAACATGGTTGAAATACCCAATTTTTCTGAAATACTATGATGATAAAGTATACTTGCCGTGTACATTTATCGTTCACTCTAGACAATAAACATTAAATAAAGAGTGTAGGGGTGCAGTGTATGGAAGTGAAGAGTCGCCATAGTCTCTCAGGGAGCAGTGTTTGAAGGATAAGCGAAAATGGCGGGGGGTTCAGTGGGAACAAATACATTTGCCCCACCTTTTGGAACAAACTCCCTACTCCTCCTGAAACGTTAGCACACGTCGCGCTTCGCTATCGCTAGGAATCACGGACAAATCAAACATGGCGATTCAGTCGCTATTTGCAGTGATGGTGTACGATTCATAAAACGGGAGTAGAAGGTATCGGTGGGTCTGATAGTGCTTTTAAACGGTAATGAGTGCTAGTACCACTGCAAATCACCGAATTCTGGTTAATATTACAAATATGGAGAATCATGATGTCAAAACTGTAATGGAGAAAGTGTCGGGCGGCATTGATAAAGTACATGACGTGAAGGGCGTACAAGCAGAGCCGACGCCTGCGGCGTCATCGTTGCCTGTTACGGAACAAGTGTCGCTCTCTACTGGCGAAAATGCCAACAGAAATGACTATATCAATAAGAAAACCGTAAGATACTTTCTTTCGAACATTTTAAAACATGCACCATATGAAAATTTAAATATTTCGAATAAATTATTAATTTTAGTTTTTCAGATTTATTTTTATAATGAAATTCAATTAAGGCTGATCGTATTAAATAATCTTAATATTCTTAATATAGTACACTTGCATGTATATAGTATAATGTAGCATAATATATAATAAGATAATTAAAAAATTGAATATTAGAGAGTAATGTAATTATTTTTATGTTTTAGTATCACAAGTTATTAGTAAAAAATTCTGGAAAATTTGAAAGTGGTAGTGGTAGTGGGGATCAGGAGGGAGGTCAATATGAAGATGGAATTGATATTGCAACGAAAAAAAGAAAGACTCGTAGAGGTAAACCTAAGCATAGAAAATTAAAACCATATTCTAAACAACAGTTGTCATATCAACAACAGCTGCGATACAGATCTAGAGGTCGATTGGCAAAAACTGGTAGACAACCTCCAGCACCATATAATACCACACAGTTTCTTATGGATGATCACAGTGATCTTCCAGATCTTGACCAAAAGCTTTCAGAAGCTGCATCTTCAGAACTACCTGCTACATTTCAAAAACCATCAGCCCCTACTCGTACGCGAGATTCTAGTTTCAGTGTTGACTCTGATGAAGATTATTTTTATTCGTCTCCAGAAGACGAAGAAGAATTTTTAACAAAGGAATTCTCAACTGCGTATGAAGACCTTCATGCTGAAAGATTAAGCACATTAAGTAAATCAGAACTGATACAGGAATATCTTCAATTAGAAGCAAAAGTAGATTTATTGACAAAACGGTTACGTGGTAAAAATTTCCATCAAACAGAACAACGAGACTTGGAAAGCAACAGTAGTAGTACAGATTCAGAATCAGCAAAAAAGTTAAAAATCTGTCAGCAACGGATCGATGATTTAATGCAACAGAATGAACAGTTAAAACGGGAAAATGAATCATTGAGAGCTAAGAGGCATAGCAGTCCAGTTTCGAGTGTTGATAGCGAAAGCGACAGTGATAGTACAAGTAATGGGAATAGGAGCAGATGTAGTTGTCTCCTTCCAAATTCTAGCTCTTCTTCGGAACTTATGGGATATGTTTCTAGAAGTAAAAGTAGTCAAAGAAAAGATAGTTCTGTGTCTAGTACTGATAGTAAAAGTGATACTTGTGATAGTAGCTCAAGTGACAATTCTAAGGCATCTATGACTCCAGTTAATCTGTCAAATGGTCATGTAAACGTTCAAAAAATTGATGGTCTCCCTACATAAATTATAAAGAGCTGTTTTTACGTACGAAAGTCTATTCAATGTTTTAAGAGTTAACGTACAAGTCATATTAAACATGTCATTGGATCTGCATATTTCCTTTGATCCTACCAATTTAGGAAACAAGACTGGTTTAAATGCAATACAATTGCACTTATGCAGTAAAAAATCCTCTTCCTGATACTAGATATGTAACCTTAGATTATCCTTGAATGTGTCCTTACAACTTACTTCCCATGTTTCTTTTAAGACTGTTTTGTGTAAACTTGAATATGTGTAATGAAGTAGGAAATACATACCTAATCTTACGGAAGAGTAAAATTTATATCTGTGCAGACTAGATTGTTATGTGCTTGATAAAATTTGCAGAAGAGTTGTATATTTGTGATGTATTCTCTACAGTGGTATTTTATCTTCATTTAGTACTAATTACGATGCACTTGAATTATCTACTAACCCTATCATTTAATAATTTTCAATGAACTGCCATTTGCTGGTACAAATTATAAATTTGGGGTTCACAGATCATTAACTAATAAATTATAGAACTAGATTTAATCAAAGACGTAAATTAATGTTACAAATAATGTGATATTGTACAATTGCATAAATTTAAGGTATCAAGGTAGATATTAGTTTATGGTCTGAATATATTTAAAATATATATTAAAAATATATATTAAAAATATTTTGCACTTCAAGTTTTTAATAAATTTGAAAATTTCTTTTTTTTTATTATAATTATTCTCCTGAAACTTAACTCAAAGAAATGAAATGAATGAGCTTCATCTAAAATGATTTTCAATAATATGAATTCAGTGATTATGGGATAGTTTTATTATGGTAGAATATAATTCATCATAAAAGTTGAATAAATACATTGTTATTATCGTAAGATATATTGTAAAATGTATTGTAATAATTGATTTCTTTTATTTGTTGTTGATTTGTTTTATTTGTTGTTGTCACTGGTATATGAAATATTATATAAAAAAATATCTTTGAAGAGTGAATTTAAATAATAGAAAATTTTTAACATTTGATTGACAATTTTTTGTAATTGAATATAGCATACATACTTTCACATCTTTTTTATGAATATGTTTTCAATTAAGCTATATACATATATGTATATGTATGTATGTATAATTTGCCTATTTAATAATGGAAGAAGTAACCTACTGAAAGGATTTTTAAACACGACCTTGTGTTTATTGTGAACCAGGCTTAATACACTGTGAAACGTTGCTAACTTCGTGGCGCGTGAAATTGAAAAGCACGCAAGGCCAGTGTTTGGTTTGGTCATATCTTATGGTTGAAGTATTAACAAGTTTCTAAAAGTTGCTGTTGGACAAAATATTATGAAAGCGATGTCTCATCATTATGTGGTAACGGCACACAAGCCTACAGCTGTCACTGCATGTGTGACAGGTAAGTAGGAATAGATGTGCAACAAAATTTTCTGCTTACGTAGATAAACAATTATTTTCTTTTTACGTATGAAGGTAATTTTACTTCGCCTACGGATTTGAATCTCATCTTAGCAAAAAATGTCCGATTAGAAATATATCTTGTTACTCCAGAGGGGTTAAGACCACTGAAAGAAGTTGGAATTTATGGGAAAATTGCAGTCGTTAAGTTTTTTAGGCCGCCGGTAAGGTTATACTAGTATCTTTGTTTTATAACTTTCATAAAATATCCTATTTGTTATTTGTGTTTTCTATGCTAATATTTAATACAATCAATTCATTGTATTTCACGTATTTTACCGAATACGTATTTGTAATAGTTTTATTGAGAGTAATATAACCTTGTACGTGTACAAAGAATTAATTATCTTTGATTCATGCATGGGTTCATTGATGCATAAAAGTACATATATGTATTGATACATTAGCATGAATTTTAAGTCACAATAAAATGATTTAATATATAATTAATGAATTATAATATATTTCTGCAGCATGAGAAAAAAGATCTATTGTTTCTTTTAACTACACGTTACAATGCTATGATTTTGGAATGTATTGGAGAAGGAGAAAATATAGAAATTATAACAAAAGCACATGGAAATGTAGCAGATCGTATTGGAAAGGCTTCTGAAACAGGAATCAAAGCTGTGATTGATCCTAAAGCACGTGTAATTGGTTTAAGATTGTATGATGGTCTTTTTAAAATTATACCTCTTGACAAAGACAATCCAGAATTAAAAGCATCATCAATACGTATGGAAGAACATCAAGTACAAGATGTGAATTTTCTTCATGGATGTGCTAATCCCACTTTAATTCTAATTCACCAAGATATTAATGGAAGACATGTCAAAACACATGAAATTTCTTTAAGAGATAAAGAATTTGTTAAAGTACCTTGGAGACAAGACAATGTAGAACGTGAAGCTATGATAGTCATTCCTGTACCTTCACCTATTTGTGGTGCAATAATAATAGGCCAAGAAAGTATATTGTACCATGATGGGAACACGTATGTTGCAGTTGTACCTCCAATTATAAAACAGAGTACTATCACATGCTATGCTAAAGTTGATAATCAAGGACTTCGATATTTGTTAGGAGATATGGCTGGACATTTGTTTATGTTATTTGTGGAACAAGAAAAGAAACCAGATGGTACACAAGTAGTGAAAGATCTTAAGGTTGAACTTCTAGGAGAAATTAGCATACCTGAATGTATTACATATTTAGATAATGGAGTAATATTTGTTGGTAGTAGATTGGGTGATTCACAATTAGTTAAATTAATTACAAAAGCAGATGAAAATGGTTCGTATTGTGTTCCAATGGAAACTTTTACTAATTTGGCACCCATAGTTGACATGGCAGTAGTTGATCTTGAAAGACAGGGACAAGGGCAAATGGTTACATGTTCTGGAGCTTTTAAGGAAGGTTCTCTTAGAATTATTAGAAATGGAATAGGTATTGAAGAACATGCAAGCATAGATTTACCAGGTATTAAAGGTATGTGGGCATTAAAAGTTGGTGGTGGTAACTTTGACAACACCTTGGTCTTATCTTTTGTTGGACAAACCAGAATTTTAACTTTAAATGGAGAAGAAGTTGAAGAAACAGATATTCCAGGCTTTGTTGCCGATGAACAAACCTTTCATACTGGTAATGTTACAAATGATTTATTTATTCAAATAACACCAACATCTGCCAGATTAATTTCACATGAAACTAAAACAGTTGTTTCTGAATGGGAACCAGAGAATAAAAGAACTATTAGTGTAGTTGCTTGCAATGGCACACAGGTACTTTGTGCTACTGGAAATGATTTATTTTATATGGAAATTTCATGTGGACAAATTGTACCAAAAGGATTTGCTACTTTACAATATGAAGTTGCTTGTTTAGATATATCTCCATTGGATGGTCATACAGAAGCAAAAATTGCAGCAGTAGGTTTATGGACACATATTTCTGTTCGTATCTTAACTTTACCTGCCTTGGAAGAAATTAACAAAGAATTACTCGGTGGTGAAATTATACCTAGATCTATTTTAATGACATGTTTCGAAGGTAATACATATTTGCTTTGTGCTCTTGGAGATGGCAGCATGTATTACTTTACTTTACATAAACAAAATGGTATACTTTCTGACAAAAAGAAAGTTACCTTAGGTACGCAACCGACGGTCTTAAGAACTTTTAGATCATTATTCACCACTAATGTTTTCGCATGTTCCGATAGGCCTACTGTAATTTATTCATCAAATCACAAACTAGTATTCAGCAACGTTAACCTAAAGGAAGTAAATCATATGTGTTCTCTAAATGCAGAATCATATCCGGATAGTTTAGCATTAGCAACCGATAGTACAGTGACAATCGGAACAATCGATGAAATTCAAAAATTACATATTCGGACTGTACCTCTCGGGGAATCACCGAGACGAATTGCTTATCAGGAAAGTTCTCAAACATTTGGAGTAATAACGATGCGTGTTGATATCCAGGATAGTAGCGGTGTTAGTATTGTAAGACATTCTGCATCTACACAAGCAGCTTCAACATCTAGCAGCAGTCACATTGCATCTTACAATAAACCTACAGGACATACAGCTAGTGACATTTGCCAAGAAATTGAAGTACATAATCTACTCATTATTGATCAACATACTTTCGAAGTTTTACATGCACATATGTTAATGCCTACTGAATATGCACTATCATTAATATCAACGAAATTAGGTGAAGATCCTACTTCCTATTATATAGTTGGAACTGCACTTGTTCATCCAGATGAAACTGAACCGAAGATGGGTAGAATACTTTTATATCACTGGAGTGATGGAAAACTTACGCAAGTAGCAGAAAAAGAGATCAAAGGATCATGTTATTCTTTAACTGAATTCAATGGAAAACTTCTTGCTAGTATCAATAGCACTGTTCGTTTATTTGAATGGACAGCAGAGAAGGAACTCAGATTAGAATGCAGCCACTTTAATAATATCATTGCCCTTTACTTGAAAACAAAAGGAGATTTCATTTTAGTTGGAGATCTTATGAGATCTCTCACTTTGTTGCAATATAAAACAATGGAAGGTTGCTTTGAAGAAATAGCAAGAGATTATAATCCAAATTGGATGACTGCTATTGAAATTTTAGATGATGATACTTTCTTAGGTGCTGAAAATTGCTTTAATCTATTTGTTTGTCAGAAAGATAGGTGAGACATTAATTTTTAAAATTAATTTAAATAAAAAGACAAATTTGTATCGAATGTAAATGTTTATATTTATTAATATTATGTGATAATAAGTTAAAATCTATTTTAGTGCGGCTACTTCAGAAGATGAAAGACAACAAATGCAGGAAGTTGGACAATTTCATTTAGGTGATATGGTTAACGTCTTCCGACATGGATCTTTAGTGATGCAAAATTTAGGTGAATCAAGTACACCTACACAAGGTTGTGTATTGTTTGGAACTGTTAGTGGAGCGATTGGTTTAGTCACACAAATTCCATTCACGTTTTATGAATTCTTAAGAAATCTTGAAGAAAGACTAACAGGTGTAATAAAAAGCGTCGGTAAAATAGAACACAATTTTTGGAGAAGTTTTAACACCGAATTAAAAATCGAGCAGTGTGAAGGTTTTATAGATGGAGATTTAATTGAAAGTTTTCTTGATTTGAGTCCTAATAAAATGGCAGACGTTGCGAGTGGTCTAATGGTAAATAAAATTGTTTCTTGAATTATATATATAATTTATTGTACTTTTAACTCATTTTCTCCTTTATAGATCGATGATCCTAGTGGCATGAAAAAAGAAGCAACAGTGGATGATCTTGTAAAAATAGTAGAAGATCTCACAAGAATACATTAGATGTAGTTCTTTGGCTGATTTGTATAGTTTATTATATTTTGAAAAGCTCACAGATAGATTGATAAGAAAAATCTTAAATGTTTGGGTAACAAATTAAAAAATTTATATACAATTATCTATTTATCATTAATAGTACAAGAAAGTAGGAAAATACATTTTTCTTCTTTTCCATTCTTGTGAAGATGCTTTGTTATGTACATCTGTACTCTTGTACTTTAATTTTTTAATAACAGTTTACTTCAAATATTTATATATGCATATGTGAAAACTGGTCAGAAAGTTTTTGAACTTATTTTAAGGATTTGTTATTCATACAAATTGACAAAACCGCGCTTCAATTACTGTTTCGTCAGTATGTACACCTATTTCGATATTTTAATAATTGTGATATCGAAGATAACGTATTTCTTACAATAATTAATAACATTTATTTAAATAGTACTTATTTTAAATGAATTTAAAAACTTTTTGATCGACTGCGACAATTATCTTTTGTTTTTAAATGTCTTAAAATGTTAAAGACTATTTAAGTTAATAATCAGTTACATTGACGTCAAGTTATAAAAATGTCATACGCTCAATTAATGAATTTCACTTTTGATAATACTTCCACTTTTGAGCGTAATAAATTGTAAAACTTGACAAAGACTTGCTAATGATTTATATTACAATTATATCGGTGTTAATTGCTGAAAAGTTATGTAGAATCCTTATATCTTTGTAACATTGAGTGTAAATAATAAAAAAATATTCACTTTCTGATAAAATTTTTTCATAATATATATATTAAATTTACTTGCTTGCATTTATTGCAGATTTTAAAGTAATTGGATCAAACAACCAGTTTCTTAATTCTTCGATACCTTGACCTGTCATTCCACTAGTTTCAAATATAGATAATTCTTGCGTAGCTTCCTTTTGTAGACGTGAATAATGAAGTATAAGTAAGGCTTCGTTGCGCATTTGACGATAAGAAAGGTCCATTTTGTTCAATGTTAATGCGATTTTTATATTTCGCAGTCTAGGATCGAGTAATAATGAGTAAAGTAATACTCCCGCCGCGCTTATTTGGCAAAGATTGCTTGTATCTATTACATAAATAAGCTTCTGTGTCTAAAAAGCAGGATAATAACTTAGAAAATTATCGAAGATTTATTTAAAATTTTCAACCTATATATTTTTATTGTTCATAATCCTTTCGAAAAAACGATTTACCTTTTCAAAGTAATGTTTCCATATTGGTGCCATACTACCACCTATTTCTTTAATAATCATGTCAAATTCTCCGGTACTATTTTTTATTGTAAAAAGATTTATGCCATTCGTAGAAACAGTATGTGTCGCATTATCTATTTCATCTCCTTGTAACCGTTTCATTAAAAATGTTTTACCCGATTTAACAGGACCAAGACAAAGACACATCTTTTACACTATTATACTTATTGAAGGAACATTGAACTTGTGCATTTGTAAATTGATCATGAAACATGAAATTCATATGTACAGAAATGTATTGATTTAACAAACGTGTTTCTATAGAGAATAGATTATTTGTTATATTAGTATCAATTGATTATTCCATTATAAAAATTTGGAATAACATTTGTGAAATGAAAATTAATATTAATAAATATGTTATAAATTTTATTCCTTAAGTCGATATAATTAGTAAAATTTTAACAAACAATATATGAGATTTGGGTATTTCAGTACACGTTTCATAACTTTCGCATAATTTAATATACAAAATTTTAAAATTGTGTACATTACTACCGCTAGTTTACATAAAAAATTTACTCTCAAAAACAAATGTAACGAACTTTGCCAAAGATACGAGAACAATGTTTTATTGTTACATGCAACAAATACTAGATACACAATAAATTAGTGAAATACAACGTAGTACGTTCAGTGATGTGCATGTAAATGATTATTTTTATAAGTACAATGCGAAATGAACGAAATAATATATGTTAAAGATAAACCAAAGTTGTATAGAACTTCTTTGCACACTATGCTTCTTTAAAAAGATTTTGCAATTCATGTAATATATAATATAGACGGGTTCTTTTTCTTCTTTAACATATACATTTCATTATAATCACATTCTAACGTTCTTTGTTAATAACATCGGTAGAAACACATCTTTCTTTTACTAGTTACTTCATAATAATATAAGATAAAAGGTATAAAATAATTATGAATTACGGAACAATGCCTAAAAAATAACGTAACAATTGACAAAGAAAGATATAAGTTCAACGAAACAAATTGTTGCAACGATTCTTATTCGGAAAGATATGCATTCCATCGATGCGATGAAACTCACGTTTCTTATTGATTTAATTTAAATAAATGTTTCCGTACAAATTGGCTTTACACACCTCAATCTTTTGCATTAATCAAGCAAATTACGAAATGCTGTCAGGCCACCTACAAATTTAATATAAAACAATAAATATAATTATTATTAGCATTTACACTTATTGTGTTACTGTTTTATAGGTATATATTCACATAACACTTTGATATATATATATCCAATATATACCCAAATACAAAAGAAAAAGTAACAAGTGCAAAGGTTCAAAAACTTTGAACGATAAAGGGTGCACTCCTTTGTAATCACGTTTATGTTTCTTGTATCATTATTATAGAATGTGAAAAAAAGCATTTCACACACATGTTACGCACAAGGCACAGGAGGCTTACCCCTACTAGCGCGAGTTTACAAAATGGAATAATGAACAAGAATTTACCACGTTTTTCAAATGTACTGACTTTGTCGCAATATTAATAATTTATCTAATTTTCTGTACAAACATATTTATATATATTACTTATGTGCATTTTCTCGCAAATAAAATGTATATATGTATATATATTACAAAGTAACTCCTCTGAGTCTGTACAATGATTTCATAGGCAGATTGTACTCCAAATTTAATAATCTTTTTCCTCGGAGCACGATTAGACTAGGATCTGTCAGTTCAAGCTTGATTCACTTTCTATAGCAAAGATCGTACTTGTCGTGGCATTTGCCATGACTGCAAACGTTTATCTTTGCTACCAGCTATGATCTAAAAAAATAAATGTTTGAATATTACATTTAATGTAATATTCTAATAGCATTTTAATAAAATATTTTAGATACCTTATTGTCTATGACTTCCATACTTAATAACATATTACCAGGTCCAGGTATACTGCATACAAGTTGATGATCCTAGAGTTTGTCTAAAGATTAATACAATTTCTTTCATAGTTAACATTAGTTTTTAAGTTCATACTAACCTTTGTATTAAATACATAAATATTTCCATCATAACAACCGGCAAACAATAGTTGTTTGTACAGACGCATGCATACAATTCCTACACCAGCATCATACTGCATTGTTTGTTCGCCATTCTATAAAATAAAGGAATGCAAAGAATGAATTTTACATGATGATGCTGTATTACAATGATAACATGGAAGATTATACAGTAGAACCTCGATTATCCGGGCACTCATTATTCAAGCATTCTATCATCGGAATATTCTACTATCGGTACATTTTGTACTATGTGTGTATGTAATCCATGCAGTATTTATTTCCTTCTATCAAAATTATCGGAAATAACTTTTCAATTCGAACAAACTCTTCACAGCATTTTAGTATGGTATTTACATTCAAAGCCTCATGGCAACAATGTTGTCAGAACGGAAATGAGTAATATTGTCAGTTGAAACAAAATATAAAATCATGAAAAAGTTGAGAAATGGCGAGAATGCAATAAACTTAACACAAGAATATCTATGTTGGAAAATCTACGGTCAGTGATATAAAAAATAAAGAGTGAGCAATAGAAAATTATTTACAGGATATTGACTCATCGAATGCTAGCACTTCCCAAACAAGTTGAAAACTGGCAAAAAATAATGATTTCGACACGATTCGTTACTAGTGGTTTCTACAATGTAGACATAAAGAAATACCTATATCAGTGCCGATTATATGCGAGGAAGCTTGGCAGTTTAATGAAAAATTAAATGGAAATCCTAATTTTCACCAAAGTTTAAATTACGTCACAGTATTCACCAAATGAACATTAGTGTAGAAAAACTTTTTCGTGGGCTTGCAACGCTGCATAGCATACCAGAATGCGAAGATCGTAACAGAACTGATGTAATAGATTGGCTTGAATTTGATAAGAAATATAATATTGGCACACAAGTATATACTAATGAAAATCTTCAAAGTGTTAATAACAAAACTCTGGATCAAGAAGTGGACGAATGAACGGATGACTACAATGAAGATGTGCCTTCTCATTTTTTATTCTTAAGCAATTGTAGCTCTCGAAAAAGTGCTTGAATGGTTCGAAACATGAAACGAATGCAGCTAGAAGAAATCACTCGCATTAAAATATACATGACCTAGAGGCAAGATATGGGATCTGAAAGATTTTATATAGCGTTTAATTGTTTGTTTGTATCATTTGGTTTAAAATATATGAAGTTTCCTTATTAAGTCCTATAATCGAGATTGTATTGTACCTATATATATTATTTTTACAAACCGTAAAATCAAAGACAAGTATAGATGTGCTACTTGTACCACAATAAATCAAATGATTATCACGCATCAGACTATACACAGTGTGACTTTTTTGACCACAAATTGTGCGAAGAAATAGGCCATTTTGAGCATCTCGTATCGTTATCGGTTGACTACGTGATGCTACGATAAGAACTCTTCGTGGACCCTCGTTAGTTGCTTTTAAAGCTAATACAGACTTATCTGAGAACTGTATGCTGTTTCCTTTAATAGTACCTGACTGAAATATTCATACATTTTTTGTTACAAAAATGATATTCATACATATTCGATAAAAACAATTTTATACATAACATTTTTCAACGAACCTTTATATGATAGCGTGATACATGCCCTGACTTAGTACCAATAAAAATTATTCCCCATGCTTCATCCATACATTGTATGGGGCTACCTATATCCGCTGTGTCTCTCACTTGCACTCCAGTCTAATGAAATTTATTTATAATAAATAATAATATATAGCAAAAGGAGTTAACAACATGTATGTATTATGCTAAATTGATAAACTTGTTACTGTTACCATTATGTTGTAACATCGTAAGGTTCCATCCAATGAACCAGAGAACATCCATTCTTTGTTAATATCTGTGCTAGTTGTATTGTATACATATAAACAAGTTACTGCTGCTTGATGACCTTTGTAGATGTTTAATATTCCATTAGATGCTTGATTGTACCTGTATATTCTACCATCTTCACTTGCGGCTAGGAATGAATTCTCAAAAACCTAGAAAAAATACTTTCCTATTATTAAGTTGTAAAATTTAATCTAACTTGTAGAATTCTGATAAAAGTTATTTATAGTGGTAACAGTTTTATGATTATAGATAAAAAGAAAAATAACAAATAACTGCATTATAATATAGAAATAACACTAACATAAGTAAGAGGAAAATAACAAGTGGAAATTTAAAAACTAGACATTTTTACAGATTTTATTAACACTATTTCCCTGTATTTTTATATTTGTATATATCATATGCCAATAGAACACTTTATATGACAAAATAAATATTTTATGAAAAATAAAATATAATAGCAAAAAAGTATAATGGTTCTATACAAATTAGGACTATAATACAATTTTTTTGTTTCAAAGAATATTTGGATCTATGTTATAAAAAAGAAGAGAAAATATTACAGAGTTTGATGCCAAAAAATACTTATGCATTACTTTAATACATACTTTCATGTCATTATTTCTTCCGTTTCTTTACCTTAATATCTAAAATAGGACCTTTATGAACCGTATATTGCGTCCTCGGTAGTTCTTTATCGTCATTTATATCTATTGCAGTCAATGTTGATCCAGACTTGCTGTGTTGTTGATTCTTAGTAACTATCGTTTTTTCTCCCACAATTTCAATATCTGGTTTATCACAATTCTGTATAATGTCTACAGTAATAGGTTCCTTCGCTAAAACTGGCATAACTTCGATATTGCGGTCTGCACATTCTTCATCATTTACAGGTGAATCCATATTTGCAGATCTTGGTATTTTCTTAATTTTAATGGAACTTATTTGATCATTAACAAGTCGTGTTGTATCGTCGAATTTTTTAATCAATTTTAAAGCCTGACTTCGTGGTAATTCACTCAATGATGTTGTCTTGCATACAGTAGGCAAATCTTTGGTTGATGTTGATTCCGCAAGACTTACGGAAGAATCCATTTGAGTAGAGTTAGGATAGACGTATGTGTTAATTTTGGATATTTCATACTTTTGTAATACATCTAAGCTTACATTCGGATTCAAAATCGTATGTCTACAATCTACTATCCGTACTACGCAATTCATCATTTCGGACATTGTATGTTTTTTGTGTCTTTTAATTCCTTTTAAAGATTCATTACTTGAATTCAATTCATGTGCCACAACCTCAGTTTCTGGAAGAATAGGCGTGCGTCGCTTTCTGTTCATTATTGGCTTTTGAATATTACGATTCCTTCTAGAATTTATTAATATAGTTTCGACTTCTTCACATGGTGATGTACTTGGAA